TTCGGACACCGCTGTGCAGGGCAAGCTGCTGCCAAGTGCAGTTATTAGAGTATTGAAGGAGTTCTTCTGAAGCCACCATCGGTTCGTTCACTGTCACCCGGGACTCTGTGCTGTCGGGTCCCTCGGAGAGGCGTCTGAGCTCGGGGCAGCTTAGGGTGTTGACATGGTAGAAGAAAGCATGCCATGTAGTGAACTCATGGAGGCAATGTCTGCATGTGGGCATGCCGTTGAGGGCGTGCTCCATGTTGGGGGTGTTTCTGGCAGCGGCCACCTCCGCACTTCTGGCTTGTTGCTGTTCCTCGTCAAAATGAGTCTCAAAATGATGTTTCTTGAGGGCCGCAGCAGTGCTGAATTGCTGTCCACACTCTTTGCAGTCAAAGACTTCGTGAATCACATGATCGACCGGGACTAGTTTGCATGATGGTGAGGCTGTCTCGGCAGTGTGGAGCCAGAAGTGTTTGGCATCAAAAAGGTGCCCCCTCACTAGCCACCGCCACTGCTGCAGTGCAGCATCCGGCCTGAGCGTTTCAGAGAGATGTGAGTCCATGGAACACCGTCTCAGAAGAGCATCCTGAAGGCGCCTGACTGGATCAGGGAGTCGTAGGCGTCGAATCAAGGCCACATTGGTCTCCTTGGTGAGCATGCTGTGGGATCGGGCAATGGTTCGAGCCTGTGTGATCAGCAGAATCTGGAGCCTGGACATCTCCTTTGCCGGTACACCAACACTGTCAAGGCTGCGCAGGAGTGTGGGCCAAACGCAGCCCTGCCATAGCTGAAGTCTGAGTCGAAGGGGGACTGTCTTGTTTCGCAGGATGACGCCGAGCCTGGAGTAGGCCGCTTTCGCCAGACGCAGCCTCCGGGTAAAAGTGGCAGTCTCAAACTTGCCGTAGCCGATGACAGCTCCCAAGTAGACATGTTCTGTGGCAAGTTTGATGTGGACATATTCATTGTCTATTAGGAATCGAATGCATTGGCCTTCGGGTCTGTCGACAACATAGCGGCGTAGAGTTTTCTCCGCCAGCGGGCCTGCCAGGCTGAGTATCACAACTGTTTTGTCGGTGCTCACCTGTAGCCCGAATCGCCTCAGTCCTGCCAGTACATGTTTCATGGCCTGGTGGGCGTTCTCGATGTCAATGCCTCGGAAAATGTTCCAGGCAAAGTGCATGTCGTCGGCATAGACAGTACCCGAATCTCCAATGGACAAGACAGGCGGGTGATCAAGCTGTCTTAGGAGCCAGCATGAGTAAACCGACCAAAGGAGTGGTGCGAGGCCACACCCCTGACGCAGTCCTTTCCCAGTGGCAATGCAAGCCTCCTGTTGACAGTGTCTCACACGAAGCTTGGCCTGGGCATGTATCATCATGATGAGCCGAATCATGTCCGCCGGGACCTGGGCGTCCTGCAGTGCAGCCGTGAGGGCTGTACGTGGAACATCGTCATAGGCCCGGGAGATACCCAGCGAGAGCTGACAGCCCCCTGCAAGTGGTTGTGCTCGGAGTCCTTGTCTCTTTTCATGGACATTGGGGTGGCTGCCATGGAGTCGGGCCCTGGTGGCCGCACAATGCGAGAGAACACGATCGAGAGCCTGTGTGAGCGATCGGTTCGCCACGTAGGCGAATTGGGGGCAGTCTTGTAAGTAGGCCTCGGCATAGGCTTGCAATCGCTGCGCGAGCATCGAGGCCAGGACCTTGGCTTGCAGAGGTAAAAGGCATATGGGTCGCAAGTGTGCCGGGGACCTCATTTTGGGGATCAGCACCAGGTCGGATATGCACCAGGCCTCCGGAAGGAGCTCCGTACCTGACTGAAGGTGGTGCTCAAATTGAGCCTGCAGGAGCGGAATGACGGTCTCCGAGGTGAGTTTCCACAGTGGTGCCGGGGCTGTGCAGGAAGGGAGTGCTTTGCTTGCTTGAAGCCTCTGGAATGCAGCTCGGAACTCTGCCTTGGAGAACTTGAACCCCTCCCGTAGCGTGGAGCTGGAAGCGGCCGGCCCCCTGTACAGATCTTGAAAGTACTTGACAATCTGCTGGAATTCCGACTCATGTGTCTGAAGTCCGCCGTCAGCTGTACGGAGTTGGAGCCTACGCTTCGGGGTTTTGGGAGCAAACCGTTTAGCGGCCTGGTGGATGTTGGCGCTCCTGACCGCTTCCTCGACTTTGGCCGTTTTTCGCCTGCGACATTCGAGTCTGAGGGCTCGGTTAGCCTGCTGAAGTTGGACGACCAGGTGCCAGGCTCTGAGGATGCCGGAGAGTCTGGGCCCTCGGCTGGTCCATCTGGCCAGCCTGGTGCCCGCCTTGTGAATTTGGTCTCGCAGGTTCCACATGCCCTGCACGCACTTAGTGAGTGGGAGGTCTGCCAGGTCGCTGACGTTGGGCTTGGCCGTTCCAGCCGGCTTGGCACGCCAGCTGGCGAGCAGAATGTCATCTATGGACACATCTAGGGAAGCATGGTGCGTGCGTTGCTGCACCTCCAGCTGCAGAGCCTGGGTCCTGCTCGGGTCCTTGAGCTCTCGCCTGGCCTGCGCAGCAGAGAGGGTCGGTTGTCCTTCATGCCGAGTGTGGGGTCGAACAGGCCTGGGAAGCAGAGCTTGCACTGGTAGATGACGATTGCCGCTCGACGGGACAAGTGCAGGCCTGCAAGGTTTGGCTTGTCTGGCAACATGATCGCTGAGCTGTTGTCTGACGATGATGAAGTCTATCTGGGTGCCATGCCCAGTGTGCTCAGCGCCGTGCGGGAGGAAGGTCCTGGCGGGCGCCCCTTTCCTTGACCAGCTGTTGAGGGCTACACAGCGATGTGCTCGCAGTAAGTCTTGTAGCTCTCCTTGGTCTGTTTGATGGACGGTGGACTTCTCGACGACTCCAGGGCCTACATGGGGAGGTTCACAGAGTACCGGCGTATTGAAATCCCCGACGAGCGCACATCCGTGCCTTTGTGGTACTCCTCCAAGCCACCGGTCAACCAGTGTCCACAGGTGCTTCCGCTGCTTGACCAAAGCCTCAACGCGACATGTGCCATCAAGCTCCTTCTTCTGAACGTTCCAGGAGTACTGATACAGGCACAGAAGGTCAAGTGGCACCTGAAAGAGCAGACGAAGATGCAGGGCCCGTCCTGGCAGAAGATTGCTCGATCTGATGCTATCAGAAGGCAGTAAGCCTCTGCGGATCATACAAAGTATCCCTGAGGCGTCTTTGCCAGCACTGTGAACGACATGCCACCCCTGGTGGGTTGCCTCGGCCGAGCTTGTAGAGAACTCAAGGTCCTCCTTCCAGTTGGTCTCCTGGAGCACACATATGTCCACTCCGCGTCCAGCCTTGTGCTCGGCCTGGAGCCAGAGGATCACCTCTTGGTAGCGCCCTGCAGAGAGGCCTCCGCAATTCCACGTGACAACGCGGAGTCTGTGCTCTCGTCCCGGGTGTTGCCTATCCTCCCTGGACGGTGCTGCCGTAGAGGTGTGTGCTCCACGCAGTTGCTGGAGTGACATCCGCTTTCCTCGGTAGAAGGTTGTGTGATCTGCGTTGTTCTTGGCTCT